TAATATTTTCTTTTTTTTTTTTTTCTCTGATAAAGTTGAAGATTTAAATGTTTACATTTTGTTATGCATGTTCAAACAGATTTGTTATATCCAGTGTTTTGCACACTACTTCAGCATTAGTCTTGAACGGCACTGCTCATTAATGTAAAGTACTTAAAATTAAGTGCCTGATACTTAAAAAGTGAAAATTGGAGTTGATATTTCTAAGCAAATGAAAGTTAAATTTGCTCATTAACCTTCATGCCATTGACTTGAACAACAGCTCTTGTTGTCATGCAATTTTTTTATTTTAAAAATTGTGTTTTAAAAGCCTCTGCAGGCTGTCTGATTACACAAGAGGAGATTATCTTGTTAAAGCAACTGCAGGACGCTCACTCGGCTCCACGGCGTCCGTCGGAGCAAACTGGACCTACAAGGACTTGACAACAGGAACACCTAGTGGCCATCAGAGCGCTCAGCGATGTGATTCATCCAGTGAGCAACATTCATGAAGATAAATGATCAAATTTTAAAAAAAAGGTGCAACATGGGACATTTTAAACATGCGTAAAGCATTAAAAGACTGCAGCTTCTTCTCTGGATTGAACACATTGAGACACTTTTGTTTGGATTTGGAGAGAAATTTGGATTATCGCGCATAACAGGAAGGTTGTTCCAGCGGACAGTGGAGGGAGAGTACCGCTTCGTCAGAAAACTGAACTGTGAACTACGACAATTTTTACATCATATAGACTAAAGGATTAATTGTTTAATCAAGAAAAAATATATACAGATTAAAGATATTCAGTTTAGCGCCTTAAAGGGAATCGGGCAGATTTCCACACACTTTTTGCGTAATAAAATGACCAAATATTTTAAGTTCACACGTTCAAATGTCTTGTTTTGTTTGGCCAATAATGCAAAGTCCAAAAATATTCTGTTAATTAACCTATAGCTAAAGAAATCCATTAAACTTCTGAATTTGAAAACCTGTAACCAGTGGATTTTCAGCATTTTTGTGTAAAAAAAAAAAAACAAAATGTAATGGAAATTGTTGCTGATTAACTTTCTATCAGTTATTTGACTACAATTAAGTAACAAAGTGGTTTCAGTTGTACAAATATCACAAGCTTCATTTCTGGTATTTGCCGCTCTGTCAAACAATGGAGTTTAACATCTGTAGTTCCTGGTCGTAAATCTTCAAACTTTAAACCTCAAAATCTGGTTTCCAGTGACCTCAAACAACATATTAATCCTTTCCTGGGAGCGAGAAGTAGAGGCAGCGGGAGGGTTTGTGGGAAATGTAGTCTGTATTTGGAGAAACACCAGCAGAAAAAAAGTGCTGTGAGGAAGAAGTTGCAGTCCATGACAACCAGACTTTTCCATCATGTGATTTTCTATTGATGTTAAAAATGCTGCATGTGGCACCTTTTTATAAACCGTTAAGTACCAATGAATGTCTCAGTCACATCTTCCTGTGAGCTCATTTTCTAATCACTTGACACCATGTCCTCTCATGTTTTTGTCTTTTTTGTTGTTGTTGTTGTTCCTCCTTGAAACAAAGAACCCGATCAACTGTAAAACAAGAAGTGTTCTTTTCTTTTACAAACTGTGCTGAAACCTTTTTGAGGAGAACGAACGCTTCCCAGTATAAATCAGTCGCCTGTTCGCGTGCACCTAAAATGGCCGCCGAGGTGTTTGACTTGAATGGGAACTTTTCTTTTTTTCGTGTTGCATTTGTGTGATTTGATGATTGCAGATCTGCAGCACAAACTCCAGTCCCATTTTTTATTTTGTTTTGTTTCTATAAACGGTTGGCAGTGTCAGGTACCATTCCATTTTAACACTGTATATTTATAATAAAAGTAATCTGTTAATAAAACCTTACTGGCTTTTGTCTTGTTTCTATCTTTTCTGAATGAGTTGGGTTTATATCTGCTCTTTTACTCTTTTTTTTTAATACACTAAACTTACTGTAATTTGTATGATTTGTACTCATGAGTATTGGTATTAGGGCCACTGTGAGGGGGGAAATGTGGATTTTGAGAATTAAGTCCATATTGTGTAATTATTTTTAGAAGTTGTTAATGAAGAGTCATGATTTTAAAAAGAAATTACCAATTTTACTTTGGAATATAATAATAAAATTGTTTTATGACCAAAATCATAATACGAGATAACAATAAATTAAATTGTATGAATAAATTATGAGACTAAAGTTGTATTAAAACCTCTATGAAAGAAGCTTACAAGATTAAAGTTGAGTCTTATTTGTAGCAAAGTCATTACACAAGAATAAAGAAGTAATTTTGTGCAACAAGTTGCAATTTTGATTTAAAGAAAAGTATTATGAGAACTTATGTTTCAATATTATTGAGAATAAAGTCATAATTTCAAAATAAAAGTTTAGATTTTATGATTTAACTGTAATATTAAGAGATTAAAGTTTAGTTTTAAATGGATTAAGTTATAATTTTAGAGAGAAAGCATGATGAGATAAAGATTAATATCAAATTCTTGTCAATTTTCTTTTAAAGTTCTGGGGAAAAAGTTGTTATTGTTAAATAAGAATAATAAATAAATAATAAATAAAAATGTAGATAAGTGTAAAATAGGTCAGAATTCTGACAAATTATGAGAAGCTGTAATTTTGTTTAAGTTTTGATTCTATTAGAAAAGTAATATTAAAGAATTAAGTTGTCATTTAAAATAACGTCTAAGAAAAGTTGTAATATTTTCGGAATAGGTGTAAAAAGAGTCACGATGATAAAATAAAGTCTAAGTATTAAGAGTATTAAGAATAAAGAGTATTAAGACCCGACTTCATCCTGTTAATGTTAACTTTGGAGATTTGGCTGATATTTACTGAAACACACAGATCCCTTAGAGATCATAGATTTATCTTTGAAGAAAGGCATCAATATTTGAATTGTTTTATTTTCAATTGACAGTTGATATTAACTATAAGATTCTTGTTTGTAACCTAAAGATTAAATACCTTAAAAACTAAGAATCATACAGTTGGACCAGAGAAAGATAATTTCTTAACTTGCTGTGATTCTTCAAACTGAACACTAGATGGAGGCAGAGATCTAATAAAAGAACAGATGTGTCCTGTGTTTCAGTGTAATTTTGAGGTACTTAAGTATTTCTATTTCCTGTGTGACTTACATGAACTACATGTATGTGACAGATATAATTACTAGTTACTTATTAGATTAAGATTTTACATAAACAACATTATATTCTTATAAAATAAAACACACACATATATTGGGATTATATCATAGATTCCTGATCCTTTTTGTTTAGTTCGTCACATTTCAGATGTCCGAGCTGTTATTAGAGGTGGGAAGTAACAAAACACAAATACTTTACTTGAGTATTTATTTTTCTGACAACTTTTTTACTCTCACCCTTTTACATTTTTACACAAATATCTGTATTTTCTACTCCTTACATCTCCAAAACTGGCTTGTTACTGTAGCTTTAATGCATCTGTAGGGAGTTATTATTATTATTTGCATCATTGCACGCCTTCCCAACATCAAGACCGGTGCATATCCTGCATGACACAGATATAACATGAGAGAAAAAGAGGTAACGACGTAACAACGACTCTATTTGTAGTTTCAGTTTTGTACTTTGTACAGAAACAACAGGTAGAGATCATCATCATCAGAGAAATTCAAATGTGTAATATGAGTACATTTCAGAGCCTGTACTTTTTCACTTTTTCTTGAGCAAAGAAGTTGAATCAGTACTTCTACTTCTACCAGTCCTTTTTTTTGTTTACAAAAGTATCTGTACTTCTACTTCTACTAAATAATGTTGTTCCACCAAAAAGACATTTCTCCTATAAACTTAATTTCAATAGTTGTTTGAGGCTCAAAGAAGTAAAATTATTAACATTATTCCCTGATGCATTAGTGTTAAAAATCTTACAATGTCACATGAAAATCATGTATCAGTCGCAGGAGGCATTTAACTGTAGGAGGATTACTTTTACTGTTGAGTACTTTAAGTTCATTTTGTTATACAATAGTGCTTTTACATCTTTCACCACTGGTGTTTTCTCACTTGTTTTTCCTTTCCTGCATTTTAGCACGTCACCAGATATAG